GATTGCTCCTCCTCATGATGCTTTATTTTCCATTTGCATAAGTACAGCTACATTGCTTCTTTTCACATGTAGCTCCCCTGTCAGACATACACTGTATGGACAAAAGTATTGAGACACCTGATCATTACACCTACAGGAACTTTTCTGACATCCTATGCTAAATCCATAGGCATCAGTATGGAGTTGGTTCCCCCTTTGCAGCTATAACAGCTGCCACTCTTCTGGGGAGGCTTTCCACAAGATTTTGGGGTGTGTCTGTTTGCCCATTCATCTAGAAGAGCATTTGTAAGGTCAGGCAAAGGGGTCTTCCCCATTGGTATGCTGAAGCATTGAGTTCCCTTCAGTGGAACTAAGGTGCCCAACCCCTGAAAAGCAACCCCATACCATTATTTTTTCTTCATCAATCTTTGCAGTTTACCCAGACTCGTCCATCATACTGCCTGACAGAGAAGCATGATTTGTCACTCCACAGAACACAGTTCCACTGCTCCATAATTCAGTGGCTATGTGCTTTACACTGCTCCATCCAGCACTTGGCATTGCACTTGGTGATGTGAGGCTTGCGTGCAGCTGTTCGCCCATGGAAGCCCATTCCATGAAGCTCCAGGTGCAGTTTCATGCTGGAGTCAATTCCAGAGGAAGTTTGTAACAGTTATTGAGTCAACAGAGTGTTGGTGACTTTTATGCACTATGCGCCTCAGGATGTAACTCTGTTACTTTACGTGGTCTGTCACTTCGTGGCTGATTTTCTGTTATTCCTAAAGGCTTCCACTTTGCAATAAAACCATGTATAGTTGACCATGGAATAACTGGCAGGGAAGAAACTTCACAAACCGACTTACTGCAAAGGTGATATCCTATGACAGAACCACATTTGAATTCACTGAGCTCTTCAGAATGACACATTTTTTCACAAATGTTTGTAAACCTGACTGCAAGGCTTGGTGCTTGATTTTATACACCTGTGACAATGGGTCTGAATGAAACACCTGAATTCAGTGATTAAGAGGTGTGGCCCAAATCTTTTGTCCATCCAGAATTTCAGTACGGAATGGCTGGTATTGTACATAGTTTAATTTCTGGAAGTCTAGGTCTTATAATGTGGGAAATTCCTGCACACACACTGCGATGTCTGATAATGTTCAGCCATGTATTGCATCTGTCCAGAATGCACGCTCTCTCTCTCTCAGCCTACGGGCCGCTGTCACTGCTCCCTCTGTACCACCTGCCCGATTCTGTACAGGCACAGCATTAGTCTTTGTTGCATCTGTTAGGCTGGTGCCGGCTGTATTCCCCTTCATTTCGCGACATTTTCCCAACCCAACCTGATGTAAGCTATCAATGTAGTTACCTCGATAATTTAAACTTTTGGGAAACACGAGTGAGTCACTAACGCAGTTGGAAACGATGCTTTTGGGGAATATACCCCTGATTTCGCTAATATTTCTTTTCACGACGATTTTTTTTCTGTTCTCTGCCTGATTAATAAAAATTCTGCATAGCTCCAGCACTTGTGTCTGCGTGTGTGTTTATGGATTTTGTTGGGTACCCCAGTCATGCTGGGGTGCCCCTGCATGACCATTTTTTCCTGATCCCACTGGTTTGGAGTGATATAAATATAACTGCAACTTATGCAAAATACAGACGCTCCTCTACTTACGAACGAGTTACGTTCCCAATGGCTCTACGTAACCTGAAATGTTCGTAAGTCATTATTCAACATCATATTAAGGGACCTGAAATCTACATAGATGCACAGAATATTTTGCAGTAAAGTAAACTTTGATCTCAAGAGAGCACGTCTTACCGATACAAGTACAAAGAACTAGGATGCTGGGAGTACGTAAACTACACTGTTGTGTGGCGGGAGTAGCGGCCAGAATTCGTTCTACGCAGAATTGGTGCGCAGAAGAAAATTTGATGATGTGGACAGGAAACGGGAGGCCAACGAACACAGTTTGGACTTACAGTCCTCTTCATTCGTATGTCTGAAAATTCGTAAGTTGAAAGTTTGTAAGTAGAGGAGAGCCTGTACACCGAACTGTAAGTATATCAGAGCACCACGTCACTGGATAGCAGCAATTTCAGCTGATGGATATATAAACTAATATTTCAGATATGGGATGTTTAGGTAATACAGTGTTTTTAAAAACTGGAAATAGATGATCGACGTGAACGCACAAGCAAAGAAAATACTTTTTTTTTCCCCCATGTTTTTTTCAACAGAATCATTAACACCAGTTTGTGCTAAACTATAAAGTTTGCTGTAAATGCAGGCAATGTAAAAAAAAAATGGTAAGATGAATGGATAGGGGCAGTGCCAGAACATATAATGCAGTGTAATCACCCTCGAAAATGCTGCGCATGCACAGACTTGTGAGGTACGAATCCATCAGGTGGCACAGATGGGGCAGTGACAGCCTCCTCTACTCTTGCAGCATCTCTCGCTAGAGTACATACAGGGGGGGTTGTGGGGGTGTTAGAGGCCTTCCTGAAGGGCCCAACGGTGATTTGACTAATCTGACAAGTATGGGACTAAAACCAGCAACCTTCTGAGTACAGGCTCATAGGCCTAACCTACACTCCTGGGTAGAGCGTACAGAATGTTCTGGTGCTGGGAACTAACAGCTAGCGAGTCCAATGCATCAGGAGCCCCTGATGAACCTGATTGAGTGCCGTTTATACAGCCTCTGCTCTGATGACCGTCATCAATCTCACCCAATTGATAATAAAGTGGCATTAATGACCGACCCTGTGACTGGGGCCAAAGTGGTTAAACCCCCAGACTCCCAGTGCCTGGGTGTATGAACAGGGTGGAGCTTGGATATATTTACGAACCCGCATACCGACTACCACCCCCCCCCCCAACACCCAATAGCTTCCCTCATGTTTGCAGCAACTCTGATTTGATTCAGCTCCTCTGGTGCGATTTTCAGGCGACTGTCTCAGTTTTTCTGAGTGTTTCAGTATTCAGCTGAGTGGTGGCCTTCGTGACTGGGAATATTGATCAGACCCGGAGGGAACCTGACAACAAAACAGTCCAGCTAGAAGTAAACGGGGTGGGTGTGTATGGCTTTCACTGCCCGGGTCCCCCCCAGCAGTCTTCATCGCTCCCGTCCCGCTGTGGCACGTCTGAACGCCAGCTGACACCTTCAGATATGTCAACTCGGGGCGTGAAGTGAAATGCAAACAAACCGTCGCATAATTATCCTCGGTAGGATCCTGGTGCGTATTGCAGCGTCCTGAGCAACCAGTGTTACAAAGTGACAACCAACTGCAAATACTGTCTGTGAGAAAACCAGTTATTTTTCTCTTTTGACGAGGAAAAATGTGTTATTGAGCATTACTTATTTACAGATAAACATTAAAGATGAATCAGTTGTGATTAATGATGAGCAATGATGATGAACATATACAATTGGGAAAGAAAATCCATCCATCCATCCATTTTCAACCCGCTTATCCTACTGGGTCGCAGGGGGTCCGGAGCCTATCCCGGAAGCAATGGGCACGAGGCGGGGACCAGCCCATCACAGGGCAGGAAAGAAATTCACTACTACTTTTGTTGAATAAAAATTTAAAAAAATGTATTTTATTTTCATTTGCATACAGTAACCCACTGTTGCAAGTAAAATTCTGAAATTTTATGGCAATTAATTAAAATTGCAACGGTAATTTTACAGTAAAAATATCTCATTTGGAAAAGATACCACCCTTTCCCAAATGGATCTGCACATTTAATCCGGTATAACCAATCACAAGACTGGATAATTGTGCCCATCTGTGATTAACTACTGACTCCTGATGAGTTTAGGATAAAGTCAGCTGCTTGCAGAAGCCGTGAGGTAAGAGAAGTGTGTAAAAAGACCCTAACGGCTTTAATGAGCCCTTACAGCACAGTGCAGGCAATCATCATGGAAGTGGAGGAGACATGGAACCACCGAGAACCGGCTTAGATGACTGAGCAGGAATGAGGCCAAGGGCAACTTTAAAGGTTTTACGGCTCTTTATGGCAAGAACTGGTCATTTTGTGCAAGTCTCTAGGAAATGGCCAGTTCTCCTCAAACCTGGCCTTCATCTGAGGGTTACAAGTAAAAGTAAAAAACTAATCCTGGAAAAATCAAGTCTTGTTGCGGTTTTGCTAAAATGCACCATACAGATTGTGTGGTTTATTTTGAAAAGAATATCACAGTACATGGTTCCTAATGTGTGTGCTGGCTGCATTCCAGCTATATCCATGTCATCGTGTTCTTTCGGCAGAGGAAGATACCATAGACGTTAACTAACAGTCAACTGCTAATCATCACTCAATTTTAATAAGATTCAAGTGACTTCCAGTGAATGTTGAAAGCAGTTCCCAGTTTACTGTTGCACTGCATGGTATTGGCAGTGAACACATACCCGAGAACCGCGATCACAACCTGCTAATGCGTTGTCTTTTTCACATTAAATATCTAAAAGAGTTTTTTTCTCTGGATATTCCCCCTGTTTATACTGGGCTTTGAGTGGGTTATTTCTCCCTTAAGTGCTTATTTTCTTGCATTATTGACCTTGTTTATCTGGAAAACAGAATATGAATTGTGTCAGTAAGTTATGGAGTTTAATATTTTTCTTTTTCACCTTGCACTTGAGATGCTTTCCTCCTTCATATCTGCTATAGCGAAACTCTCAGCTGGACCTTCAGCCTTGAACGTCTCTCTGAAAGGCAGTGATCAGAATGAGCTTCTTTCAAGGGGTGTCTTTCATACCTCTTTCTTTCAGCCATGCAGGTTTTTCCAACTACTGCCTACATACATTGTTTACATGTTTATCAGGAACCTTCTATGTTTTAAAAACCAGTATAAAAGCTGAAGCAGGGGTAAGGCCTTCACGACAGCCAGCCTGCAGGAGTTCGGATCTCTGCCGTCTTCGCAGAATGCTTCAAAGCTGCCACTCTGTCAGACATCACATTCGTTCATTGTGTGTATGAATCCTTACAGCCTTACTCTGTCCCTCCCCAGGTGATCTACGCCCTCAACACCAAGAACGACGAGCACGAGGCAGCCATCCAGACCCTGAAGGAGGCGCATGAGGAGGAGGTGCAGCAGATCCTGTCGGAGACGCGGGAGAAGATAATGCAGTACAAGAGCAAGATCAGCGACGAGATGGACCTGAAGAGGCGCATCCAGTCACTGGAGGAGTCCATGGAGCTGCACGATCGCATGAAGCGACAGGCGCTGGCCGAGTTTGAGGCGTACCGGCAGCGCGTGGAGGACATGCAGCTGTGTACGGAGGCGCAACACACGCAACGCGTGGTCTCCATGTCCCGTGAGGTGGAGGACATGCGGCACAGCTTCGAGGAGAAGCTGCGCAACTTTGGGCAGCTGCAGGCGCAGTGCGAGCAGGACAAGCTGCAGGCGCTGGAGGAGCTGCGCACCTCCCACCGGCAGGAGGTGCAGGAGCTGCTGCGCAGCCACCAGAGCCAGAGCGCCAGCCAATGCAAAGACCAGGAGAAGCTGTTGCAGCTGCACAAGGCCGAGGTGGAGGCGCTGAGGGAGCGCGGCGATGACCTCAGGCAGGAGAAGAAGAGGCTGGTGGAGGAGTACGAGGCCAAGCTGAGCGAGGCGCAGGCCTTCTACGAGTGCGAGCTGGAGGCAATGAAGCGGACGCAGCAGCTCACCGCCGAGAACCTGCTGGCCTGGAAGAAGACGGAGGCCGAGCTGCGGCGCGAGTTCCAGGCGCAGGAGGCGGCGCTGCAGAAGACGCTGGGCAGGCTGCGTGCCGAGCTGCAGCGGGTGCAGGAGGAGGCCCGCGACAGCCGCGACAGGACGCAGAAGCTGCAGGCCTCGCTCAGCGCCGCCGAGAGCACCATCAAGGTACTGCGGCGTGGGAGGGGAGCATTTCACCACACAGCAAGGCCGACTTCCGCTTCTCTCCAGGACGACTCCTATCCAGGGGCGGGGCAGGAAATTCTAAGCCTTCTGACAAAATGTCGCCCGGGGTGGGGGCATTGGTAGATAATGCTGAGTGGGGGAACATTCCTTCGGTTGGTGTTGTTCATGGTACATTTTGCCGTAATTATGTAGAAATGCAATAACAAAATGTAACAGAATTAAAGACTTATTAAATATTAGGAGTTAAGGCAACTGTGTTTGAGAGAGTTGATTTGGGGGGAACAGTTTGCTCAGTTTGGTGGGAGACACATGAAGCCAAACTAAATATTTGGGGTACTAGTGCATCAGCCATTCCCCCCTGTACCTGAGCCCCTGAGTTAAGATCTAACTTTAATTCTGCCCCCCCCCCCGGGAACGCATACCCAAGCCCCCAGCAACAGTGTGGCTCCTGTTCTGCAAATTTGACCTTGGGAATTATCTCCATTTATCCAGTCGGTGATTTATAACCCCTTTAATTAATCATACAAAATATTAAGCTTGGCAAATCTGAAATCTGATCCGACTTGAATTCTTCAAATTTGACCTTTAACGATAAGGATTAAAGTATCTATAATCTGTCTCTTAAACTAGGTTAGAGGTTAATTTAAGTCGCTATGATTAAATCCCTAATCACTCTCACTATAAGCATCTCAATTATTTTGAGTAGTCCCTTGAAAATATGAAAAATACACCCCATATGAATATCAAAACACAGTGCCTTGATACTCTCTCAACCCTGTATTTTATTCCACTGTTTGCATATTAAAGTATAACTTGCATATTTTTGGAGGGGGGGGGTGTAATTAATTTTTAGGTTTCCCAGACTGAACATCAAAAGCCATTTTCACTGAGGAAACAAATTCATTTTCAAAGAGGACTGGATATCGCCAGACTCTGGCAGAGGAGGGGGGACCCTTGAAGGAGTAAACCATTAAGCCATGCTTTGAACCTTGCTCTTAGTGGCAATTCAAGGGACGAGGTTTTAATTAGTGCAGCTCTCCATGTGGGACTGAGAAGCCCCTCTTCTTCCAGTCCCGTCAACAGACGATATTACCATCTGACGTCTAAGATGGCTAAATGGATGTAGAACTGGTGGTTTTGTCCCAGTGGCGCATTTCTGGAAGTAATTAAATAAAAGCATCCTTATGAACTGCTCAGACTGCGACCAGCTGAGCATATTTGTTTGTCTGCGCAAGTGCAGCTACTGCGCATCCGGCCTTGAGTGCAGGCGCTGCGTATCTCCACCGTCTGCAGGGGCAGAACCCCTCGACAGGTTGTCCCGATAAAACCACGAGCATCTGTCCTGCTTAATTCCTCTGCACAGTTGCAGCGTCTCTGAGCTCACCGGGGCTCAGGCATGGCCTTTGGCTCACATTTCCCCTCCTTCATGGAGAGAAGGTTTGCGATGTTAAGGGCAAAGCTCAGGGACGCTCACGATCCCGCCTCCTGTCGCTCCGTCAAGTCCCTGCATGCTGAGGAGGGGAAGGAGAACCAAACAGTCAGCATGTTCCCGTTTGAAGTCCTTAAATTATGACGTATTTGACATAATCAAACAAACAGAATATCTACAATTTTTTCTGATTGATTACCTGTAGTCAAAGCAATAAAGCTTTGTTGTTATGCCAGCCATGTACAGTACACAGTGAAACTAAATAACGTTCCTCCAGGACCCATCATGCAACTTTTATGATAGGACAGACATTACAGTACTGGATACAGAGTTATGGAATAATTTACATATTCAAGTATCGATAATTTAAGGGGAGAGGAGACAGATGGAATGCTCCTCCTTATAATTGCTGGCTAACATAAACGTTCCACATCAGGCAAACGATGAACAGGCAGTCTACATAACGCTGGGAAGTTTGCCTGTATTAGTAGTAAATGCAGTGTTCAGAGTACTGTCAAAAATCCAGGGTGTGGCTTTGTCAAAGATATTCCAATACCGTGCCCCCCCCCCCCCGATTTGACTGACCTTTGCCCCCGTGACCAACGTAGGAGCTCCACAAGCAGCTGGACGAGGTGACCCAAGATGCAGAGATCGTGGAGATCCGACAGAAGGAGACGGAATGCGAGCTGGAGGCCACTCGGGACCGGGTGCAGCAGCAGGCCACTGAAATCCTTCTGAAAGCCAGTGAGAAATGCCGCCTTCCTCATCACCATGCCAACGGCAACATCCGCCAGAGGCAGGCCGCTCAGCCATGCTGCAGGCCCTGGTGCGGTGCCATTAGTTACGGCGTCTCATCTTATCTCTCACGCACCTGCTGTTCGGAGACGAAAATACCTCTCGTAATAACCTCGTGTCTCGTTTGCTGAGGCCACCTGCCTCCACAGATAACTGTAGCTTATCGGTTACTCATTTAGCATCCTTCCGCTAGGCACCGAATACGGAAAGAAAGGCCTCGATTCAGATTCTAAGATCGGGCGCGAAAACAAACAGCAATCAAATATGTCCGGGAATATTTGCACGGCATTCAAATAAACATGTTCGGCATGTGGCAACTGCTGCTGTGTTGACTCTCAGCCTCTTGGAGCGTTCCCTTTGGGTACCGAGTCGCACGGCATAATGTCTCATTCCAGAAATGGAGAGATTCCAGTTTGGCTGAGAATTCAGCTGCTGATGTGACAGTCAGGTTGGGAGTCCTTGTGCTCCCAAACTGGTGTACTTTCATACTCGTATCTTGTCAAAACAAAGTGAGTTTCTTTACAAAGAAAGAAATGTAACGTTTAATGGAGTCTATTCATATCATGCATTGGAATGACAGTAAAAGCCGTTGGATAGGTGAGACGGAAGGTTTAACATTTTATTGGACAAGGTTAGTTGAGGCCTCTTTGTGGTATAGGCCCCTGGGCTTCAGCCCAAGTAACCCCGTGCATTAAAACTCCACTGTCTTCTTGCGATGCTGTGAATTTTGGTTGATTGGCTTGGAGGATGGAGGCAGTTTGAGGCAAAAGCTGGTGTGGCTGAACTGAATGGAAATGGGTCATGGAGACGTGTTTCCAAGCAGCTCATCTTTGGGCACACTCCTTTTCATCTACTTCTGAGAAAAATAAGACGAACCTCAGATGAACACGGTTCAGAGTTGACATTAGGCCGAGTGCGGCCTGAATCGATTTATGCAGAGCAAACCCTCACAGGACTGAGCACTTTAGCCATGCTGTTGAACCATGAATTCTCGTAGGATCTCGGAGATTCTCTGATGTGGGTCCAGGGGTGCAGAGATCGTGGGCAGCAGAGTTCGGAGCCGTGGCCTGATCTTGGCATTGCGGAGAGTCACCGCTCACCATTTTCTCGAGAGGTCAAGCATAGGTGTCTATGAACAGCTGCCGTCGTATCCACAAAATATGGACAAAAATAGGAGCTTCTACGGAGTGATGGCTTGTGTTTCCGGAACTTTCGTAAGTCTCTCGTTATTGTCGTACCGTGTTGTGCCAACGGTGTCCTGGCAGCGGGCGGAAGCCTGGCACCCTGTCAGTGTGTTGTGTTTGTCCACCGCCTGTAAAATGAGAGCAGTTACGGCTGTAATGGCGTGTCTCAGCTGGCATCGCGCTCTTCGTTAAGCCCCATCGATCATTCTCCCTGCCTCCTCATTTAAAGGGGCCCCGCACCCTTAGGCAGGTGCACATCACAGCTGAAACGCCTGGGTACAGGGTCAACGATAGAAAAGACATTCTGAGCCGATCTGAATTTCTTACTTTCTTTCTTAGGCGACATGTGGGGTAATGTGCCATTAGCCATTATTTCCGAAGCATAAAAACACCTTTTCTGACAAACTACTTTACAAAATAAACCTAAAACTTTACACAGCCATCAGTGAATAATTTAATGTTATATATACATGGATTTTTGTCAGCGAGACAAATATGTCAGTGTGAACAAGATACACACTAATCTCACTTTATATTCACAATTAACATTCCAAATATAGTTCCATCTATAGTAAAAACCCATGACCACCAAGTGGAGATTCACAATTTTCACCGGACAGTGACGAGATATGTGGCACGAGATATGTGGGGGTGGGGGGGGAGGGTGAAGGGGGCCTTTGGTACGGGAGGATTTAACCAGCTCTACGTAAACCCTCTGCTACTCCGAAGCATTCGGGCAACAGGCTATGATTGGATTGTAAGTGAAGCCTGGTATCAGTGACTCATGCAGTGTCACATAAACTACGTAGGGAAGGTGGGGGCTATTGGGGTGGGGGGGTGTCCTTCTTCTCTTTCAAATTATCGACTATCGAATTATATTCCCCTGTTTGCACTCCACTGTCAGTTTCTCTGTCACGGCAGGCAGCTTGTCTCCACGCTGCCCCCCCCCCCCCCCCACCAGGGCTATGTGGTGGGATGTAACCCGACACCCCTGAGAATTTCATAATGGCGTCGCTTTGGAGTTTGGCCGCCTTCCCCAGCAAAGCCCCCTCTCCTCCCTCTCCTCCCCCAGGTCAGATCGGCAGCCTGCAGGCCACCCAGATGACCCACGAAGCTGCCATCCGGGACCTGGAGTCGGAGAAGTCTCGCCTGAAGGACAAGGTCCTGCGCCTGGAAGAGGAGCGGGAAGCCCTGCAGAACAAGAGCCAGGCACTGGAGGAGAGGCAGCGGCAGCAGATCCTGTCCTTGGAGAAGGTGTGGGGTGTGCTGAGTTTGTGGGGTGTGCTGGGTTTGTGGGGTGTGTGTGCAGTGTGGTGTGTGTGTGGCATGTGAAGTGTGTGTGCAGTGTGTGACGTGTGATACGTGCTGTGTGCAGTATGTGAGGTGTCTGTAGTATGGTGTGTGTGAAGTTTGTGTGGTGTGCAGGGTGAGAGGTGTGTGTGGTGTGGTATGTGGCTTGCAGTTTGTGAGGTGTGGTGTGTGTCAGGTGTGTGTGATGTGCGTGTGTCGCACTCCTATATACTTTGATTGCATAGGTGTTTAATCGTGTCCACTGCGCTACACGCTTCTCTTTCGAAATGCAGAGTGGATCTCCACTGTGCTACACGCTTCTCCTTCGAAATGCAGAGTGGATTTCCACTGTGCTACACGCTTCTCCCTCAAAATGCAGAGTGCCCTTCACTATGCAGCCTCGCCTCCATGTTTAATTCAAGAGTCTGGGAATGAAGACAATAAAACCCATAAGAAAAGCCTTTTTTGCAGAAGTCATAAAACCAAGGATTACGACGGAGCCCTGCTGTGCTAAATGGCCTAAAACTTTTAATTAGGCCCGCGATTTATTAATCGGAAGTTCATTAGAATGTATATATTTTATATAGCCCACATAAACACTCACATAAGCAATGCAATAAGGTCATTAATTCTCTTGTTCTGCCCTATATTACAGACATTAGGATTGAGCAGTACTCTATCACCATAGATATTACTGAAACTTAAGTATATCCTTAGCTAGCTATTAAAGTCATTACTTCACTTTTACGGTAAAAGGGTTAACGTTAGACAAATAAAGGTCAGCTCTACATATGGGAAAGACAAAATGTAATTTCCTTTAAATGTCAGACATAATCAGGTTTCCTTGCTGCATTTGCATTCCCGTCAGAGATGAGGTCCTAAGCTGTCCGCGGCACCCTGTGCCCCCCCCCCCAAGGGCTCCAATGTCTCCATTTCAGAGCGGTAGGGGCTTCGTAAATGTGGGGAGACGGAGAAGCCCGTCACCCAGTAAACTCTGCAGACGTGGCTGTGGTGAAATATTGCAGGTTCCCATGACAACATTTACATTTGCACTTCTTTAGTTTATGTGCAGCAGTCTTAGGCAATCAAAGAAAGTGATGTTTAAATGATCTTCATGTTGGTGTAACAAATATGATATTATCTCTGTTAAAATGTGTCAGCTTAGCCATTTCAAAACCTCTCCTAAGTTAACACAGGATTTTGTAATCCACGTATTTTTTGACTCAATGACTTGTGGCTCGTAAAGCTACATCGCTATAGCTAATAGATGCCTCATTTGAGTTATTTAACTAATTAACTTAATTGTTTAATTGAGCTGGTGGTGAAATTTAACAAATACATCGAATGGCCAGAGTTCCCCTGAGGAGAGGTTTGGGAACTGAAGCGATGTTCTTTTTGGAGAACAGAAGAAATTCCTATTAGTTTTTATCGTATTACTATTCATTTGCATATGTTATAATGTTAAATTGTATTTTTTTTTCTGGACAGATATACACTTACTGGCCAGATAAATAGCTTTAAGCATTTTCTTTGATTGCCAAAGACTTTTACACAGTTTTGTATATTTATTTTATTTACTGAGCACTTTTGTCCAAAGTAGCGTACAAATGAGGCAGATAATACATCAAACATTTAGCTGTCAAGGAGCTAAATTAGGTTCGATTGCTGCTAGGCTGAGCTTCTAAAGAGTGCTAAACGAAACGCTACAAAACAATGTTAGAAGCTAACACCAGAAGATGCTACTGAAATGGGAACACAGTGAAGACGAGGTTTCTGCTAGAGAAGCACAAAATACAAGATCATCCCATTTTACCAAGAGACTCTAACCAAGCGAAAGGCAACAAAATGTGATGAACGGAACGCAAGTCCGTGCCAAGCTGCACTGCTGCTTGGCAGCCATATTTAACACACGCGGGTCGTTCATGAAGCTGCTGTTAAGCAAACCTTAGTTCAACTTCAACGCAGAAACACATGCAGGAAAACTGATGCCGTTCCTATTTTACGTCGCTCTGTGTTAGATCACGGTTTTACGGCACAGATCTTTGACGTTACGGGAAATGAAGAACGGGAGCTTTAATTTCTGTATGTTTGTCGTACTCAGACACTTCGGGAGGAGAAACAGACCTACGAGAAGGAAATGATGAGCATGCGTGTCAGGTACGAGGAGGACGCGGTCTACTTTAAGGAGGCGCAGACCCGGGCGCTGGAAGACCTCTCCAAAAAGCACCGGGCCGTCCTGGAGACTACGCAGGTCGAGGCTGAGAGGGAGAAGAACCACTTGCTGGAAGTAAGTAGCCAAGGTGGGGGCTCTCCTGGAGACACTAACGGGTGTAGATTTGGGTAGGAAATGCTGATTTCCCAGTTTCCCCCTCAACACTGAGAAAGTGTTAATTTACAAGCATGTGGAAGGGTGGCTTATGTTGCACACAGCCTGACCCGAACTCAGTCTGCACTGGCCCCTGCTTCAGAGATTAAGCCGCTTTGGCCTACATAGCTTTGAGTGCGACTGCACAGCGTTTGAGGGCCCGCCAGGTATTCTGCAGCTGTGAGGCCATCCCGTCCTGTATGCTCACAGGGGTGAATGTCCAGCAGTGCGGAAGACTCAGCAAAGCCCATCTTCTAGCTGACGCTGGGCTGGACTCATTGCACAGACAGACGGGTCACAATGACCTATTTAGCATCATGTTCGTTATCAACAAACTATATCTGGACAAGCCAACATCTTCTCACAAATAGGTTTCCCATTCTGAAGCCCTGCCAGTATAAACCTCCCACGTTCTCTGTTCGAATGAACTGATGCGGAAGTTCATCATCTACCTGTTAATCCCATGAATACTGGAGGTGAAAAGAGATGATTAGGGCTGTCGCCATCGATTATATGAATAATCACGTAATCTACCGATTATTCTGATGGTTCATTCAGTAATTGTTCATAATATAATATAATTGCATTTGTCACGAGGCAGGACCCAAGCAAGCATTGCAGGATGCACGTTCAGTCACAAATAAGGTCAATTTAGGCGCTCCAGTGCAAGTTTCATGTTTTTAGACAGAGGAAGGAAACCAGAGGATCTGTCGAAAAGCCACGTACACACAGGGTGAACATGCAAACTCCGCACACGCAAAGCAGCAATGTGCAGCAGCAGTGTGCGATGTTAATATCGACATGACATTCCATGCACACGCAGTTGTCACCTTGCAAGGACCTTGATAGTCTGCTGGGTTCAAACTAGGGCTGTCACAATATCAGTTACTCACTACATGATTATTGTGGCCAAAAGAATTCATAATAACGATATTTTTGCGATACCTATAGAAAATTTGAACAAAATCATGATAATGCTGCTAATCACCTTTAATGCCTTTAATTAACAAGTCACCTTTAATTTGTTTATATTGTGTCTAGTGTCGTTTTTCACAAATGGATTACACTCAAACTACACGTGTAGTGAGGTGGGGAGTCTGTAACCGTAACTGTATAAAAGCATATGGAAAGAACAAATACCAGACTTAATGGATGGCTAAAAGATAACCAGGGCTAAAGCCCCCGTTTGCTTACCGTCGATCGGCCCTTCCTGCAGAATGGGGCATATAACACCCCACATTTTTCACGAAATCCTGTGGTGATACAGTTAATACTTCTTTCAACGTCATCAGGTTAATTTTTTCTCATTTTTATCTCATCCCACTGAGTTAGGAAGCAAAGAAAACTTTTTTGAAAGATTTTTTTCAGTCAGCCGAATCAATACCAGTTGTTGCTAAACAGTTAAGCCACCACTGTATTTAGCCGTTAATGTAAACAATACAGTTTACTGATATTTTTATATTGCTTTACTTATCTGACTTCTGATTTGACAGGGAAAAGCCACACCACACACGTGCATTAAAATCCACTTTTTGGGTAATAAAATTGATTTAGTTGCCTTCTGGAACATTAACACTTATCTAATAGGGTAAATCTGCCTTTCAGACGCTAACAAGTGTAACTAACAAGTGTCAATAGAAAATATTTACGTTACGTGCTTAAGTAATTAATCGCGCATTATCCATGTGTGTGACATCTTTCAAAGACAGTGTGTTCTGCCTCCAGTATAATGGTGGTCATAGTCTCTGTGGTCTCTGTGCACTTTATGAGCTCTGGCACCTGAGTTGACAAATTAAACATTGGTGACACCTCTAATTCAAACCATCAAAAAGTTGAACTAAAACTCAGTCATAGGAAACAAAGCTTAGCAAGCTTTGCAATCTTAATGATGATTCCTTTTCGACATTATCTAGTATGTAAAAAAAAAAAAAATCAGTCTAAAGTTTTCCGCTGCTTTCAAATGAGCTTTGTACCTGCTCTCCAAGACTATCGTATTCATTCTCGTCCATGGCGTTGGACTCGATCATGGGCCGTGTGGCATGTTTCTGAGAAATTGAACAAAAATGAGTGAAGTGAACAAGAACTGGTCTCAAAAAGACGTTTGTCTTTTGCTGTATTCCATAGACACGATATTGAACAAATGCAAGTGATTTATTGCCACTTCTTTGTGTCTTTTGGCACAACTGACAGAAACACCACCAACTTGTAAGTTGCACTTGGCTATATGGTTAATTTTCAACTACTAAATATTGCAAAAACTTCATATATTGCACTGTGAACTTTTTCCAATATTGTTCAGCCTTGCAAGACCACACAATACCTTCACAAAAAGAATCAGTACTGTATGTTAATATGTAGCGTAAGATGGTGCGGCTTAGCAATGGGGCTAACCTTCATTTTAGCAGAGATTATTTTGACATACAGGAATCATAAAAAAGTAAATTATGCAAAATTATTTGGCAAAGCGATGACAAACACAGTCTGTGCTACTCCATGAGGCTAAACCACACATATTTATGGCCAACCTCGCGTTACTGAGTGAGTCCATCAAGAAGTATTTGCATTGCAGTCGAGCCGTTGTGATATTTAAGTTCTGCTTTGCAATACTGGCAGGCAGCATTTTCATTCACTTTTAATGAATAGTTCTTCCACACAACGGATGGTTTCACTCATTATTTCCACCCTCGTCTACTATGTGCTGCCTTCCGCCATATTGGCAAGTAAACTAGAAGGATAATTTTAATCGACGCATTTCAATAATTGAGTAATCAAGTTGAATCGAGTTTTTTTGCTGCTAACACACACCCACCGACTGAATCCTGCTCTGTTGGCACCTCATGCTCAGTTACTTTCGTTTTCTCTCTTTCGTTATGTGTCTGTGATTTCTGGTTCACTGTTTATGTTTCATGTAAGGATTTCAGGATTATCCTGCCATTACTGTTACTGTCACCATTCCCTCCAGCTACGGTATTCCGGGACACAGCTGCAGAAGCTCCGGGTGAAGTGGCTCAGTTCCGGTGTAATCCGTACGCCTCATTAACCGCAACAATGAAAATTCATCTCCCTGTTTCACCCGACTCGGCAAAGCGGGCTAAAACCTTGGGGACATTGCTTGCAAGAGTCCTTTACATAGATTTTTTTTTCCAGTCTGCTACAAACCAGCTCATATAATGTTAAGCGATGAAACGCTTCTTATCTCATAAGACACTTTGGCTACAGTGGCGACTAAACTTTTGATTCCCTTAGCTGATAACGTAAAATGAAAGCACTCAAACAGAATGCATGATTGAGTCAACCAAAAGGCAATCCGCTAGCTTTGCTTTTAGACAATATGATGTTTGAAGTGAGAACACATCGTGGTGCGGTGTTTCACTTCCCAAAATACCCTCACGAATTTAAGCCCCTATGAGGAAAACCAGCGTTTGTCCGAAGAATGATATAAGCAGCTGTCAGAGTGGCCACTAATGATATATCACTCAGTCAACCTTTGATGAATAACTGTGAAGTAGCTGTTGTATCACAATCCTCTTCTTCGCTGCATATTCTTCAGTCCCTTTGCCTCTGAACCCTGGAACGCCAGGATAGGCTGAATTGTTGTGCTGAAGCCTCCGAGTCTCCAGGGGGCAGTGTTGGTATGGTGGCACGTGCACATAATGGAATATTCCCTTTCCTCCATCCTTTTATATGCATCTGCATCATTAGCTGGGTAAGAGGTAGAAAAAAAAAGCCAAGCAGTGCTTATTGACTCCTCTTGTGCCTAAAATTCAGGAGTAATGAATAATGTATGCACTGGCTTGGCGGTGACTCACCGAGTCCTGATGAGCGAGGTAGCGATGCTGTGGATGGCCTACTTCTGCCAAGGCCAGAAGCCTTCACTCCCACCACTAGGAGTCACCCCATTCCCAAAGGCAGCCTGAGTCACTCAGCCGTTGGCGCAGGAACGTAGGACAGCCCCAGGTTCCTTTGTTACGCGGCACCTTTACACTCCTGCATTAGAGTAAGCATCTTCTGGGAAGCATTTGGAGCCTTGATTTCAGCAGAGCACATGCTACCCAGCCTGTAAGGCACAGCTATTATGTTTGACCTTCATACTGCAGAAACGGGGAACAACAACGTCTGCTGCGGACCCAGTCTAGATGGGGAGTAACACGATCAAAAAATGTCCTCGTCTTTGTTATAATTCAACAACGAAACATCTGTGGTGCAGTGCTGTTTATTATTTTCTATCCATCTTCCTTCTGCTTATCCAGGACAGGGCCTCAGGGGGGCCCGCGCCTGTCCGAGGCAGGGGGTACGCCATGGGTAGGATGCGAGTTCCACTGAATTTTAGAAACACCGGTTTATTCAGGTGCATGTGTTTGGATGGCAGGAGGAAACACAGGCAGAGCCTGCACAACTCCACACAGGGAACCCTGGAGGTGTGCAATCGGAGTGCTACCCAGTGCCCCACCAGCCATCATTTATAAATGTAAATTTATCAATTATATACCGTAGGCATTTTAAAACAATTCGATAAAAACTCTAAAAAGTTTGCTGAAAAGTTACTTCGCGCTCAGACTACTCTACTAATCACACTGTGCATTGTAGCTTTTGACTACAACATGACATATTTCATAAAAAAATAAACAAATATGAGTGCAATAGCAGTCCTTTGATAACACAATAGTGTGGTGCAAACCCCCTGTAATACCTCTCCCTATAATTAGATGCACTATGTCTGACCTAGAAATATTTTAAAGTCATATACAGTATTTTTAACAGCAAAATAAAATATTTATAGAGCATAAAATAGCTGTTCTCGTCAGGACCGTTCTTAAATCCAGCACCCGTAAATATCAAACTGCAAAAAAACATTGTGATGAATATCTCTCTGGTGATTCTTCATTACCTTAAATGAGTTCACATCCTCTGCTGGATGTTTTTTTTTCCTGCGCGCTTCAAGAGTTATTTTCAGTTTATGTTCATCCTACCCAAAAATAGGGCTGTACTTTAGTTAGACCTACCGAAAACGGACATCTGTTCTTGTTAAGGCTCTGTGACAAACTGAGGCTTCGAAAGAAAGGATAGGGCTGGAGATCACATGCACAGTCGCTCTTTACCAGGGGTTTTGAACCTGGGGTCCGCAAGAAGGAAGGATTCATTACAAAGAAGTATTCATGGTAAGGGATGCCCAACGCTGGTCTGTTTTCATTGGGGAGGCTCTGGTCAAACAAAGGTTGAAAACCCCTGCTTGACTCTGCAGGCTGACTGAGCACATCATTACAGATTTTCCTATCCTCTGCTGAAAAAGTCATTACGCCGTCCCGTCCCCCCCCACCCCTTCATTTCTAATGAACACTAATGAATTCAGTGGGATTCTGATGTGAGTGATTACAGTGCTATGAGAAGTCTGCTTCAAACAGAAATATAAATACATCTGTAATGAGGCTGAAATTGCAGCCTGCGTTAGGTTATTTTAATATCTAGTTTTTAACGTTTTTGCCAGTCTCTCCGAGTCATGCATTCTGAGTAGCCAGGAACATCGTCTTGCTGTGTTACCTGTATTAGAGGTCAGATACAACATACTAAATTGGACTTTAAAGTCCTTTGATAGGACTTTATAACAATTTAGAAGAAAGTAATGTAGCTTCTATTTATTAGTAGTTAAAAGTGGTTGGGTTTTATGTCTTTTAAAACCTTAAATCTATATTTTTTAAACAATGTTTGAGAGGAAGTGCCAGGTCATTCTTGAACAATTTACAATTTATTTGTTACAATTTATTATTTCTTCCAGAACCAGAACCCTCAAAGGAGGACTATATACTTTATAACGGTGAAAAACCATCCATGGCCCCTGCCTCCGGACTAATAAAAGGTTTATTGTTGTTTTTTTTTTTTTTTTACAGGAAATGGAGCAGCATTTTGAGCAGGAGCGCCTCCTGCTGGAGGAACAGAAGAATCACCTTCGGCAGCAACTCGACAGCCTGCGGGAGGAACTTACTGCCAAACTCAAGTCAGCCAATCAGGAGGCAAGGATTCATCCCCAGTCTGTCAGCACCTAGCTAAGCACAGAACTAGTTTGTCTGTTCCTAAAAACAAGGAGCGTGCAAAGGGCAGATGTGCCGAAACTCCACCTCCATGCACTAATTCACAGCTGCTATTGTTCCCATCTCATTACGTACGGTCAGATTTAATAAGCTCTGTCTTTGTATGTCTGCATGTACCGGATTATACTTGCAGATGGTGTGGAAATCGCTTCATTGATTCCCAATTAGTATTCACAGACGGTCATGCTTTTCTTCCTTTTGGACCTTGTATTTTTGGGTGGTCAGTTCAGGAACATCCATCTTCCCACATCTGGCGCTCTCGTTAAGGGTCCACCCTTGCCCTGCTCTGTCATCTTATTCACTCCCAACGTGTCTGGTCATATAGCTGTATCCCGGTAGGCTAAACCAGCGTTTTCTCAAATCAGTCCTTGGGGATCCCCAGACAGGTCACATTTTTGCTCCCCCCGCAATACCCTGGGAGTTGGGAAAGAGACAAACTGTAGACCGTCCGGGGGTCCCCAAGGACTGGTTTGAGAAACACTGGGCTAAACGGCATTGCTGCACCTCCATGTTCAGTGTGACCCCATGTTCCTCTGAGAATCCCCTCTCTGTGATTATTGTCCTTTGACATGCCCCTGCCCTGCCCTGGCCTTCTGCGCCGCTCATCCTCTCGCTCTCCTCCGTGCCAGGTGTCTCGTCTGCAGGAGCAGGTCCAGCAGAGCGAGCACGGCCTGGACTCGGCCGAGGGCCACATCTCCAGCCTGAAGGAGGCGCAGGAGAAGCTCATTGAGGAGTTGGATGTAACAAGGTCCAGGTTACGGGAGACCAGTAACCTCCTCACCGCCCTACAGGTGAGAACAGGCTCTTGCTGATTTGTGATGTGTAGATCAAGGGTCTTCAATCCTTCAGCCACTCTAGTTCCACTCTTACCCCCACATTACCCCCTGTTACCCCTCAGATCCACTCTTACCCCCACATTACCCCCTGTTACCCCCACATTACACCCCGTTACCCCTCAGTTACACTATAACCACATCCCATTACAGCGAGTTATCTACATCAGCTTGATGTTATATAGTTTTGTACATATCGCACATTGTTTTTACTCCAACATCCCTCGCTCTGACATGCACTCCTGCACTTCTTATACATCTATCAACGCCACATCCACCTTGTATATATCAGCCTAATGGTATGTGACTATTGTCTTACTTAACTGTGTATGTATCTATTGTGTGTGTTTGTGTGTGAGTAAACCTGATTCAGAATCTGTGATTCTTAAACCAGGGACTGGGGGGGGTTGACTTTGATATTTCTTGCTCCTTGAAAATTTTTCACGTTGAGTAAACCGGATGATTATACTGACATTTCATCATTTATGATACGTCCCTGTGGGCCCCCTGCCACTGCTGTACCGGCCCCCAGGGGGGGGGCACGGATCCAAGTTAAAAGGCCCTTGCTATAGATCATATCAAGGTCGATTGCTTTCCAAGCTAGCTGAAATGCGCTGGTGTTTTGATGCATATTGCATAAGCCTTGCGCTTCACAATGACACCTACATACTGAATTATAGAATTAAGAGGTCCTGCTCTGGGAAATGGACAGCTGGCCGGTCCTGAGTGAGACCTCCCGCCGATTCTCCTATACCACCATATCATGTTAGCATTAGTTAGCATTTTTCCCTTATCACCGCCGACCTATACTACTGCACCTGTTTTTATCTTGCCGTTGGTAGCGGATCAGGAACGTGTGTGTGTGTTGTCGTACGTGCTTGCATTGTGTTTTGTCAGAAAATGAAGCACTCCTCATTTTTGACACATTTTGTCATCTCACATTGTACCCTACATAACAGCCCCCCCCCATCCCCGCATAATATGACAGGCATCATCGAAGGCTGTCTGCCCTGTCAGTCATTGGCATTCTGTCACAATGTGGGCAGCACAGCACTGTGCCTTAGCGCCGAATGAGCAACACAGGCAACCCGCAGGTGGCCCCTGTGTTCCCACTGTGTCCATTCTCTTGTTGGCTCTCAGTGTCAATTTTGTTCCTCCGAATCACAGCAAAGGATGAGCTTAGATGTAAAGCAGTAGCTCCCCCCATTATCCCGGGTCATCCTACTGCTTTACTGCCGCAAAGTCACCCAGGTTGCTCGTCCGCCATTTCTCACCTTCTGACGAAGCCACACCCTGACGCTCTTTCTTCCGCCTGCCACCAGGGGGAAATGGAGACCCAGAAGAAGCAGCACGAGACCAAGCTAGTCTCCATCAAAGAAGAGGAGAAGCTGAAAATTGATAAAGTGGCCCTGGAGCTGGAGCTGAAGTGGACGGAGGCCTTGAGGTGCACGCCGTCTCCTGGCACCCGCCGGATGCTCCCTGGCACCTTTTATGATCGGAGAACGAGCAGGACCTAAAAATGAAACGTCTAAACGGAACACTAAATGGATAGCTACTATCTCTAACTGCTAGCATGGCTGGAATGGGATTAAAATTCAGCCCTGGACTTTGGGGTCCCCAGCTATGACTGCTAGTATTGTGGGTAAGCTCACAATGAAGTAGTGCTGGTTCTTCACTTATAGAAACAGTATATTATAGGTACATGTGTTAAGTATCGAGAAGCAGAGAACCCTGGCTTTGGTCACGTGAGGATACTTCATACTATAATGGTAATAAAGGAGAAAAGTTTTGGTAGGAAGTGTGAGTGGAGATGGCCCTCACTTGAGTATGCATTTTGCACATTTGTTTCTTCATAGTGAACTACTCAAAGGGGTCATAGTGAACAAAACGATAATGAGTTTAAGAGTAGCTGTCAAGGGCTTAACACTGATGGCTTGTGAATTGCAGGAGGAACAGCAAGAATATATATGAATGGAGATGACTTTACAGAACATAAGAAGAATTAGACAAAGAGGAATAGTGAACATCTCTAGAACATCAGAGGAACTTCGGTGAACATGCCACCTGTCTCACTGGAGTCAATTAATATTCTTGACATAACGTTGACAATTAAGGCCTACAAATTTATTGCAAACAACTGTTTCTCTTTGGTGTGAACTTTCCATCATTCTTGGGTTTGCAGACCCAGGACTGAGGGCAGGCAAGTCTAAATGTACACACTCCCATCCTGTCACTGGAAAACATGGCCATTAACATCTCTTCTCTGAAGACGATTGTATTGTTACATGCAGAAGATGGGAATCATTTTTATCTAGCTTCTTGTTTGAGGTCTTACAGTATGTGACTCCCCGGGGTTCCTTTATTGCTTTAAAGGCTCAGCGTTATGGAATTTAGGATGAAAATTACATTTAATGCCATGATCGAGGCTTATCTAAGCCATGTACCTCAAGTTCTGTAGCTAGCAGACTGTACCTGGTCTGCATCAAAGCAGAAGGAGAAAATGGAGGGAAAAGGCAGCCGCTGAAACGCATCCCTGCAGTTATACTGAGTTCACTCGTTTGGCTGGTTGTGGACAGTTTGGGCTCGTCTGCAACAAAAAATTGCTGCCCTTGCTAGCAGGATCTCTCATGGGAGAAACCATGTCTCAGAATAAGGGCGTGATTGTGTACATTGATTCATCCTTGACTCAGCTATAGCTATTTTGCGCTTGAGCGTTGCGTCCACAATTAGAAACACAGACTAATTGTTTGAATTAGTACTGAACTTGCAGTGCGTGTGGTACGGAAATCGCTGAACAATGCATACTCCTGTTCCACGTCTCTGAACGTCTCATGATTTCAACCTTTTGGGACATCAAGCTACAAAAGTTTTTCTCATACCGCCCCCGACTGTCAGGTGGATATTGGTAAACTGGGACAATGTGTGAAATTTTACTTTCCCTCTCACTTTAAAAATATGATCCTAATTATAAATATTAAAACACAACAGTGTTATTGAAAGCTCAAGAGCTTAAGTTATTAGACCAAAGAGGCACAAAGATATCAAACATATAAGTGTCCCAGTTTACCCTTTGTCCCACTTCACCAATACTCACCCTAATTAAGGAACCTCTGAGCTAACATCAGACACCCTTCCTCTCCAGGGTCCCATTAGGCAGGCCACCTAGACCAGCCAAAGGGGGTCCAGTCTACTGAGGGGACCCCCCATGGCCCCCAAATTTATTTCTGGCTACGTTCCCCCCCTAGGGTCCCTGGAAAGATAGATCTGGCCCCCTTTATCTCTATCCTCTGTGGAAGTTTCTTCTCTAGGCTGCACCAGATCAAGGCTTTTGGTTTCACCTTGACCGGCATTCATGACAGCAGCGGAAGGGTCTGTTTCCACAAGACAGGCCTGGCTGTTTACCCAGAGGTGCAGCAGACTGTGTAGCAGACTGTGCAGCAGACTGTGCAGCAAGTCCCCTTTGGAACTGTGTCTCACTCCTAAGCCGAGCCTCCAGCTCATGCTACACTGGGTCGCTGTTCACAGTCACTCGAAAACGAAGCAAAGACGGTGGCTTTGCCATTTTTTGCTGCCAGTAGGAGGCGACTGTGAGACCACACCGAAAACATCCAGCATGTGGGTCACCTTCGGGTGGTGAGAGTTCGGCAGCCGTCCCTGTGGATCGTGCCACGCTTCCCCTAAACAATGCTGTGTTTGGGCTTTCCCATATTGCTGGATCTTCTTGCGATGCTGGTCATTAAGCTGAAGCTGGGACTCATTGAACGTTCACGGGATCCTCCTCTGTCACTGTCACCCCCCCCCCTCCGGCTGGTTCCTAAGCCACACTTGAACACGTTTCGCGCCCAGCTTTTGCGAAAAGTCTGCTACTGACTGCCTGCCTTTCCAGTTAATTAAGCAGGGGATTTAATTAGAATCGCCTGGGGTTCATTCCATCCATCTATCCATCCATCCATCTTCCACCCGCTCATCCAGTTCAGCGGCCCAGGGTGGGGCTGAGTCTACCCCCCATTATATGTCAGCAGGTACTTTGCCTTGCCAGTAAGAGAACCAAAATATCCTCACGTATGTTAGTTCACATTCCATGTGTGACAGTGATTCGGTTTCTGCGGATAAAATCTCCACCGCCTCATCGTTAAATATCACTGCACACTTCCCTCAAGAAATGATTCACCAGACATTTTATCTGAGGCCATACAGCTGGATTCCAGCAGATCTAGCTGCAGGAAATTCCCCTCCTCTGCCGCGCTCAGCGATGTTGACAGCAGACGCCCAAATCCCTGACAGGAAGCTGGAAATGTTCACACAGGGCAATAATCTTTGCAATAACCTCTTAGGAGGCCTCTGTCTCCCACAGCCGTCGCTACATCTCAGTCGACTCTTATTATACCGAGTTCACTGTTGGCCTCCGTTTTTATCTCTTCATCCTTTCGTGATTAGTGGCTACGTTGGAAATAGGTTTCCGTTCATCAGATATGCACAGAGGCCGGAATCTGCGCTCCTGCCTTTGAGCAAAGTGCCATCGTTCCAATGCACACCACCATGAATGGGGTTTAGGGATGAGCTATTCATGCTATATTTGGTGTTTTGAACTGCATTTAAATTTAAAACTTTTATGGCACCGTCTAGTTTAATTAAATCACATGTCTTGTGGAATTAGATCACAGTGCGATAAATTTCCACCACTACTCTCTTCACATTGTGCGCATTGATGCCTAACTACTATTGCTGCATGCTAATGTTTAATCGTTTTCATTGTATGTGAGTAATACGTGTTGAGTGGAAGTCTTTATTGTGACTTGGTAGGTTAAAGTTATCATAAGGCGCTTATCCACTGCACCAGGCTTAGACTGATTGGTATAAAAAAATTGGTACTGCCCCTTTCCATTGACGTCCTGTCAATTACCAGTATCAAAATACCAAACCAGCTGGGGTACTTGTTTAGTACTTTGGGGTAGGACTTGCAAACGTGTTTGTTATTGATTTCGTGCTAGTCACTGATGATGTCATTCTGCGCTGGTCACTGATGATGTAATTGAAGCCTTGAAGCCAATCAGGTTGGCTGAAGGATTGTAAGACAGTGAATGAGGAAGGAATATGGTACTGTCTACAGCCGTTTAGCTGAGTTGTTGTGACAACTAAAGAGATGCGTTGGCCTGCCTTTTCTCCGCAGGCAGGAGTGCAAGAAGCTGCGGGAGGAGCTGCGGGAGGAGCACGATGAGGACAAGCGCAGCGCCCTGACGCAGCTGGCGCAGAGCAAGGAGCAGGAGATGGGAGCCGCCAGGGAAGGCTGGCAGAGGAAGGTGGAGGACCTGCTGGAGCAGGTGAGCGGTATCCGGCTGCACGGCCGCAGATGCATGCGGCCACACAATCGTGCATAAATGCGCTCGCCGTATGTTCATCAGTCTGCCAGATTGTGCAAAGCTCAGGCCTTAACATTGTCTATAGCCCAGCAGTTGGAAGATTACCAGTTTCAGCTGCCATAAGGTAACATTCCCCCCATGATCAGTTACAGTATTTAGACATACTGTGTGAAAGTCTTAGGCAGTCAAAGAAAAGTATGCTAAAATGAATTTCATCTTTTCAACTTTTGTTTGTTATGCTAAAATAATATTACGTCTGTCAAAATATATCTCCTTGGCCACTTCAAAAACCCTACCAGTAACCCCAATATTTGCAACCATCCATCCAATATATCTGTGAATTTATTGATTCAACCACTATAACACCATGTTTGGTTAATCAATACTTGATTTACTTCTTGTTAACTAATTACTTAATTAAGTGACCCAGTTATAAAATTTAATGAATCCATGGAATGGCTGAGGTGCCCCTGAAGAGAGGTTTGGGAACTGAAGCGTTGTTCATCTAGCCGTCTAACAAGATATCAGTAACTTTGTAGAGAGAAGAAACTCTTCTTAGTTGGTTTTGTTTTACTGTTAATTTGCATATGTTCTAATGCTAATTTGCATATGTTCTCATATTAATTTGCATACGTTCTCATGTTAATTTGCATATGTTCTAATGCTAATTTGCATTTGTTCTCATGTTAATTTGCATATGTTCTAATGTTAAATATACACTTATTTCCCAGATAAATAGCTTTATTTATTTTCTTTAACCGCCTAAGACACAGTACTGTATAATCTGAAACCCCAAGTCGTCTATAGTTCAGGTCACGTATAGCTGTACTAGCAGTAGTGAGGACCTGGTTCTGACATGGCTCCCTCCTGGCCCAGCCATTTCCGTGCTCTGACCAAAACTCACGTTACACTCGGTCACGCGGGTCAATCCTGGGGGATCTCTCTGGATCGCTTCGGATTGTATGTCCTGCTGCTCGAAGCCTGGAAGAATAGGGAGCGATTAAAGCAGCAGAGGGGGATATATCTGCTGGGCGTTTTATAGCTGCTCGCCGCGGCCCTCGTTCATCGGGGCAGATGTGTGAGCAAGGGAGGAGGCGTGAGCCCGTTCCGAGCGGGAAAACGGCTCGGATCACCATCTTTCTCATCTGAAAGAATTACCCTGAGCTAAATACACTCTCCCGTCTGATCCCGTTTTCGAGAGAGAGGGCCTTTATTTTGACCTTCCTTTGCGTTGCTGATTCCTGAATGTGTCCCTTTATTCCTGTGATTTTCCCCCCTAGCGGCAGTCACTTGGTGAAGCTTTACATAAATCAATCAGTAATGTAAGTGAATCCCACTTACACACTTGCTGCCTTTGTTTTCCCTTTTTTTTAAAACTTACTCTACGGAAATATATATCCCAAATATATATTTGTCACGTGTGGCTCGCATGCTGGTCTTGCAAGTCTCTTTAATTTGTTTTGAATTGTCTTTGGTTTGGACTTGCTCTCGCTTGCACAAATGATGAAGAGAATCCATGTCCACCATTATTTTTTTTGTAGCTGGGGGGGGTTGGGTTTTTTTTTTTTTGTTTGGTCAGCCTTCTGGGAGAGGGTGCGTGACTGAAGCCCCCAGTCGTGCATTCAGCCTGCTCCTCGGAAAAGCCTGGAAGGGAGTAGTGGACCTGAGCGACATCATCCGGTTCCCAAGCAACGTGCATGAACGCTCATTCCTGCCGTCGGGCTTCAGTTCAACATCGACATTCATTTCTGTGCTCGGAGTTGAATCTTGGTGCACGCTGGGATTTTTTCCTCCTCCTTGTCTTTGTGACTGGTGTATTTTTCTGTTCCTTTTGGATGAGAATACAACCTTTGGTGGTGTGTGTTTTTTTCCTCTATTTGATATGTGGTGTCATGGCCGCCGCCGGGGCCCTTTTGTTTTCGATTGCTTGGGAATTAAGGGTTTTGTTTGTTTGTTTGTTTTGAACTATGAGGCCTTGGCTGGTGAAGCAGTGTTACTTATGATTCTGCCTACGCCTTCGGGTTTTTGTTTGTTTTGAAACGGGAACCGGAGCCACCATTTCGATTTCTATTGCAGCAACTCGACCTGTGCCAGACACCCATGTTAAATAATGCAACATGGAAATGTTTACCTGCGGAGCGTTTGACTCTGCACCTGCATCAAATACCAAAATATAGTGTAACCTCATCGCATCCCTGCTCGCTTTGAGGAGGGTGGAACCTAAAAGAGGCCATGTCTCCCGCAGCCCTGGCAGGGTGCTAGATTACACGCGTTTAGGAGAGTCGTACCTGAAGTCCCTCCTCGATCCATATCCACCTTCTGATCTATGACTGTCCATTAGCCCCGTCCTTCATGAGGGGGAGGTTTCTGGTGTCCATGTTTATGATTTACATTGCGTGTTGCATCCACAGTGTTTGCCATCAATATAGATGAAAAGTCCATAAGGTGGTTGATTATTCTGATGAGGGAAGGATGTTTAATTTATTAATATTACAACGCGTTACATCTTTTTCTTTTGCTGCTGTTTTGGTTTGCGCTGTAGAGACAAATTGCCCCAAGTTCCTAGTTAATCATCAGGCCCATTTGTTTATTGCATCTGCTAATGTTCTCACGTACGTCTGTACCTATGAAGAAGCCATAACGAATGCCCACAGTAGTTTAGTTTGGGCTTCAAATTACTGTCAATGTCAAATACTTCTACCAGGGTTCCCCAGTTCCAGTCCTGGAGATCCAGTCTGCAACACAAACACTTCAAGGTGCTCAAACACCTACTAAACATGGCAATTAGCTGGTGAGCTAAATAAGGTGTGTTTGAGCAGGGAAATCTGCAAATTGTGTCGCAGACTGACCCTCCTGGACTGGATTGTACATTATGTAGCTTTCACTCCAGCTGCTTTGCGTATGTCATTGTAGGTGCAGAGCTCGCTCTGACCAGACCTCCTCAGTGTGGCGGGGAGGCCGCACCTGCCCTCAGACCCGCGATATAACTGGCTGCCCCCCTCCCATCGCCCCGCCCCCTTCTGGCCTACAGATCTCGCTGCTGAAGCAAAGCCTGGAGATGCAGCTGTCGCAGTCGCAGAACTCCCTGCAGCAGCTGCAAGCACAATTCAACCAGGAGCGCGAGCACCTGAGCCAGCAGCTACAGGAGTTGGAGCTGGAGCACCAGCGCAGGGAGCAGCGGCTGCAGGAGGCACATTGCTGCGTGCTGCAGGACCTGGAGGAGGCACGGCAGCAGGACCTGAAGGTGCTCCGGCCTTCCTCACTCATTTCCAAGTCACCAGTAGTCATAGAAATAAGGAGGAAGAACTTACATTTTGTCTTAATTCTCCCCATAATTTATTGCAGTGTTTCCCAATCCGGTTCTTGGGGACCTGCAGATTGTCCACATTTTTGCTCCTACCGGGAGCTGGGAGGGAGCAAAAATGTGGACTGTCTGGCAGGGAGCAAAAATGTGGACTGTCTGGCAGGGAGCAAAAATGTGGACTGTCTGGCAGGGAACTGGGAGGGAGCAAAAACGTGGACCGTCCATGGACCCTGGATGGGAAGCACTTGTTTCTTTATACCACGGTGCTGTGTTCTCGAATCTGATTGGTTAGCAGGATGTTCATTCATTTCCTATAACTCCACATGTAGTGCCAGCCTAACGAATCACAGTAGTAAATCAATCTTTCAATGATCTTTAATTCTTACTGCTATTTAAAACACAATTTAAAATTATCATAAACTAAATGTAAATGTTTAATCATTGGCTGAAGAAACTTAAAATATAAAGTAATGCTTTTCCAGCTCATGAATGTGAAAATAAAGACTTTAGGCCATTTGCCTCTACAGCTGTGTGTTTAAATATGTACAGTGGGGGCTTGTTCTGCATTAACCCTTACATAACGCAGATCTGGCACTGATCACTTCTCCACAGGTCACTTTGCAGTATATCAAACCGAGCTGGTCAACAGGTCAGTCAGCACAACGAAGCAAATGAACAGTGCTGGTCTGTGGGCTTGGGCTGGATTCCTTCGTGTCCTTCCTTGGCTGACTCAGGACCTCTATGTGTGATCGTGTTAAAGTCAGCGCGTTGTTTGAAATGCAGAGCGAAGCTCGGCATGCCAGAAAAGGTCGGAGAAATAAATAATGCAGGGCCACAATGTTATATTCATACGCTATGCTTGTTGGAAAGGTGTAAGCATCACAAGGAGTTATTGGGCGGGAGCTGTGGAGACGGTCGCTCCATCTGTGCTCTCGATTCTGTCTGGAGCGAAGCCTCGTTTCCGACATTCTCCTCTTTAGTTCGATTTCCGATTCCGCTGATTCAGTGTCGTTTGCATGGCGAGGGGATATTGTTTGGAAAGTACCGCTCAGGCCGAATGGGCCGGAGCGCAGGTCTCAATAAAATCTGGCTCTGTTGACTTATTCAAGGGTGCTTTAATAACCGCGTGCTGGTTTACTTCATGGTGCAGAAGCCTGTGGTGTGGTCTCTCCGTCAGCTGCAACGAGACTTAACCGTTACCAGGATCCGGAATCTATAGAAATGTAGCATTATTCCCTCCACAGCAGTCAGTTCTGCACCACAGCACACATGGTTGTGTTCTGTGACTAACATTTCTGAGTTGCTGTGTTTCTGGGGGATTTACCAGAGATCCCTGCTTTTTGGTAGCACAACCTTCCATAAGCTGATGTGGCTTCACCCCGCGGCTGTTTTTGGTGACCTGCCCCCCGCTGCTGCCCTAGCAGACCAGGAGCAGCAGCTGGCTTGATTCATAGACGGTTCGGGGAGCTGCGTCAGAGGCTGGGCAGATATTGCAGCAGAACCTCCTAGCTGGAAGGATTTCTAGCCCGGTGTATTTTTTTCCAGTCTTTATACGTGGTTTCTCTCTAGGGGAGCGTCCGTATTTGCTAATAGACCGTGGAAAAACGTATATAGAGTGTGACTTCTGTGTATGGGTGCTTTATAGGAAGAAAACCAAAGCTAAGTATCAGGAAAACAAACTTGACCCTTTTTCCATGATATATTGAGATTTAAAAATTGCCCACCCTGATTTTTCTCGTCTCGTGGGAGGGGCTACAATGCTGACTTCATAGAAAATCTCAGCAGGTAGGGTACTGGTTTGGGCCCAAGTGACACTGATGTTGTACCTTTGAGAAAAGCTGTTACTAGCTGCTTTGAATCAGTGTCTGCTAAACAGCATCGACCCACGAGACCGTAGCCAGGCCTGTATGCTGATGTCTATTGCTCTGGTTTGTTCCTCTTAACCCCCGTGCCGTAATGTCTCAAGTAAGACACCAATTACTCCCTCTCCGCAATCAGCCGAATCTGCCATTTAGCACTTAATTGGTTGTCCATTTATTCATAGCAGACATCTTCAGCTGCAGCAAGTTTGGACTGAAATAAACTCTGGCTGTTTCTTATGGTCAACCAAGTAGATGATGATGATGATGATGGTGATGATAGACGAATGAAGGAAATGCAGTTGACTGCCCTTTGTGGATGGCTTGAGCTGCCCCCCCCCCCCCCCGTTAACAGCAGTCCTGTTGACAGCGCTGTTAGAACATTAGTCTATGTTACAACAGGCAAATGGCCGTTGGTCGTGGTTGTATTTTAAAAAATGTTACTTGACACGCCTGAGGCGAAGAAATGATGTTGCCTGGCCTCTGTTCTCTGCTGCTCTGCCAGCCAGAGGGAATTGTATTACTATTCAGACTATGAGCGTTTTCAGTCTACTGTGTTTGGGCAAAGAAAAGACAGTAGAAAATATCTAACATTCTTTTGATGTTTTGCTGCATTTGAATCTCTAATTTGTATGCCACGCTTGAAGAGCATGAAATAACCTTAGAGTAGGTCGGTGTTAATCAGGCAGTTCTGTGAAACCGTGTCGTGTCACTTTGTTTCTCTGGCCTGTCCTGTTTGTGACGGCTTGTCGTATTGCCTATCCACTGTACTGAGAAACCCATTTTTTTGGACTGCCTCTGGCTTGCTGAATTCCCATTGGGTATTTTTTTCCCCCAGTCTGTCAGTTAGCCAATGAAATCCCTTTTGGGATTTGCATTCTCCTCCAGCGTCCCTGGTAACTTGCTGGTGATTGGCTGGCACCATGAAGCGGGTAGGGGCTGTTTTTACTGCTTTTCTGGGTATGATTGAAAAGCCGAGGCGGCTCCCCGACCCCGGGACAGGCTGCTGATGCTGAAGAGCTTATGGATGGGATTGACGAAGGTGCTCCTGGCCCCCAGACGCCTCTGTCTCCATTGCCGGTGGTCCCCTTTGGCCCTGGAGCTGCAGCCCGGCTCTCCTGGCCCTGCCGTCTTTGCTCCTGCTCATGAGACAGTAAAAACGGGACTTTATTTCCAACCGGGGGCCATTTCCTCCGTATCACATGCTGCAGCTGGAGCATCTTCACCGAATCTGAGATCCGCCGCTCGGTTACTGACCCGTTAATGTGCCGTATATTTAGCTTTCTTGTCATTGAATGACCAGTCGATATTTACTGTGGCTAAAGATTATTTCTTAAACACTTATCTGTCAAACGTTACGAGAACTGCAATACATCTTCTACATTTAGAGCTATGTGAGACACATTTTCCATAATGACTCATCCACATTTACTGATGCTATAGTCAATCTCTGATGTGCTGCCTGGTCTCTCAGAAGTAGCCTTTACTCCTGTGACTCCCTTCACGAGTGGTTTCTCGACTCTTTATTGAATTCCTCAGCCCTCTGTGCACTTGGTGATGGTGCGTTCCATCCGTCTGTCTCTCTGTGACGCACACATCAGTCCTGGCTGCCAACCTCCACCTTGGCTGTCTTCACCCAGACATCAGCCACACCCCTCCAGCCACCTGCCCTCTACCTGAACCTCCACTCTGTGCACACAGGGGCTGGAGGAGCGCCTGCGGCAGCAGCACCACATGGAGTTGCAGTCCTTGCGGGAGGCCCACAGGCACAACATCGAGACGCTGCGGCAGCAGTCGGAGCAGGAGCTGCAAACGCTGCGTTTCGAGCTGGAGGATGAGGGCAAAGCCATGCTGGGTAGGGAGCCCGATCCCCAGGACAGAGCCTCACGGAGTTGGGAGCCCAATCCCCAGGGCAGAGCTTCAATGGGTAGGGAGCCCGATCCCCAGGGCAGAGCCTCACGGAGTGGGGAGCCCGATCCCCAGGGCAGAGCCTCACGGAGTGGGGAGCCCGATCCCCAGGGCAGAGCTTCACTGGGTAGGGAGCCCGATCCCCAGGGCAGAGCTTCACTGGGTAGGGAGCCCGATCCCCAGGGCAGAGCTTCACTGGGTAGGGAACCC